CCTGAGCCTCAACCAGACAAATGGAGGGTAAGACTTGAATTGTACAAGAGGGTCTTTAGAAGCACAGTGCAGCAGGATTATTATAGTCAATTTTATGTGACTGACAGGCAAGCTTAACAGGAAATTCTTCACCCTTGAAAAAGACTTTGAATTCATAAACAGCTCTTGAGAGATCATTTGATTTAAACAGGTTCGGAAGAAGAAGAAAAAAGAAGAAGAAAAAATAGAAAGTCTCTTGCAATGATGGGGATGCTGAAATGCACTATTCTGCTGGCTTCAGTTCTGATGATTCTTAGTTACTCTAGATAGAAGAAAAAATCTGTAGTAGCATTTTTGTCCCTAGATGAACATCTCACAAGAATGTTTAGTTTATATGGTGTTCCATATTTAAAATTTGTCTGCTATATTAATCTATGTCAAAAATCATACAACAAGCTTTTAAAAATATTTATTTGTATGTCTTTCAATAATCAATTGATTTAGGGGTTTAAGCGCAAAGTGTTGTTTGAATCTCTGGACTGAGTAGATAAATAAAAATTCTTTAAAAAGTTGAACTTTCTACTTTGGATAGCTGTAGCAGGCTCATTTACAAAAGAGGTGTGTCTACATGAGCCTACATGCCTGTAAACCCATAAGCAAAACTCAAAACATTACAGAATTTAGTGAGTACATGTGGCATATCAATGTAAACAAACATGCAAAGTTTTGTGGAGATCAGGCAACAGGTGGCATTATAATAGTGGAAAAGGTTTGAAAAACACAGTGTTTCAATGTCTGTTTAAGCTCAATACAATTTCAATTACCATTTTAGCCACTAGATGGATTAACTTGAAGTTTTGCTCAAAGTAGAATGACATACAATAAAAAATGGCCACCATTAGCCAATCAAATTTGAGCATCCTACAAACACAGTTAACGATGGCTGATCAGAATGAAACTCGTTGGGCATGTTGGACTCATTGGCCTAGAGTTCTGTAGAAATTTTGAAAGAAATTATCCACTAGGGGGCAATTTTGAGTTTTTGGAGTGTGTAATTAAACATTTGATAACTCAATCTATAAACTCTAAAACTCTAATTATATATTTCATTTTAAAATAAACTACTTACAGGATCCCTAACTGATAAATAACCTTACTCTTCTAAAGCGTTTGAACACAGATAATTGCCGCTTGTGACTATATTTCATTGTATATTTTAACATTAGTCTATTTAATTAACCACAGCAGTAGGAATAATATTAATAATAGTAAAAATGTGTAAATAGGTTCTTTGTAAACTTATCAAGTAAACTTAAAATACAGCAAATATAACTGAATAAAATTACTATATTTCAATACAACTAATGATGTTTTAAAGTATTTTAGCATAATTTTTTCTGTGGCAAATTAATAAAATTTAGTGTGGCATGATTTATCAAAAATAATTGATATTAATATGGTTGCAGCAATTTCTGGCCAATGATCATATTGATTGTAATAAACAACTATTAGTGAATAATTTTTTTTTTTTTTACTTTAACATAACTATTATTTACACACGATAGAAAACATTTATAAAAAGCTTGTATGATAGTGCATCATCAAACAATTTGGTGGCACTTTGCATTAGAGGACAAGCAGATAATGTTGGTTATTGTATTTACTAGATGATGATGATGATAATGTTGATTATTATTATTATTATTAATTTTATCCATAATTTCTGTTAAACTATACATTTTACATATTTCACATAGATTTGGTAAGCTTTTAGCATTATATCTAGAGAAAATAATTGATGGATTATCAAAAAAAAAAGCATTAACTATCATTGGTAATTAATAAACTAATGAATACCATTGATTTATCATGTCTTTTTTATGCAAAAGCCAATATGATAGTAACAAGTAATATTTTTAAAAAAGCATGAAAACTATATTATTATACTGGTGCTTATTATCTCAACTTATTAACAATCTCAGTATTTTTTTTTTATAAAACCAGTTTTGCTGCTTAATAGTTTTCAAATTGTTGCATCTAAAATTGTGTAGCATTTTTATATATGTAACAAGGTATTCACTAACTCACTGCTGAATAAATGTCAATATAATTTATTATTATATTTTTATGATATGATTTTGAATGACATATATCATATGTTATAGTGCATTTAAATGACCGCAGATGTTAAAATGTGGCATGAGACTGAAAACAAGTTGTTCTATGAAAATTTATTACAATTTTCATGAAGCTGATAAACATTTCACAGCAAAGCGTGCAATGGGGTCAGTTTAGGGCCACATATAAATGAATGATGAATTCCACAGCAGACTCAAGTTTAAACGCAACACATCAGAAACTCCAAGAGAACCGTAGTACTTCACAGACACTCCCCAAAAGACCTGCTGCTAAAAATGGGCCAGTATTTCCCTGACGAAAAATAACACTCAGGAAGAATCACGTCTTGATGACAGGATTGCAAGAGGATAGAAAAGCCTGACAAAAACAATCTGCAAGAATGAAGTATAAATGTAAAACCAAGTTATTCAGTGAAATATAAAATGGGAATTGCTGTGGGTCTCAGCCAGGTTGAATATTGATCAAATGTAGACCTACATTTGCATGAATATGTGGAGCCCAAATGTTTATCAGCAAGAAAAATCTAAACAGTGCACCTAAAAATCATGCAAATCAACCACAACCCCATTAATGCAAGATTTTCATATAGGAGAAAATGGATCACTGTTAGTCTTTTTAGGCTCTTACATCACCACACTATTAGCAAACAGTTAGTCTTAAACCTTCTGTGATCTTCATAAAGCATGAGATAAACAATTGCACAAAGTAAAAATGTATGTATTACTTCATTTAGTTTTAAACTATCACTTTGAGAAACATGGCATTCTAATAAAACCCAACTGTCTTGTTGCCTCGCATCGGCTCACGTCTGGTTTCATCTGGACCAAAAGACTGTGCTTGAACACACCAAATGGACGAAGCACTGAAACAAGAGATGATGTTCTGTGCCTGAGTCTTTCCGCACATTTGTATTCTCATTTACAACGGGAAACCATAATGTCAGACGTGCGATTGCAAAACATAAAGAAAGCAGCATTTAGTGCCAATTACAACAGCAATTGATTCTCACCACTAAGATTGCAAAATTCCTGGAATTTTCAAGGTTGGAAATTTTCGTGGGAATTAATTGAAATATTTGGGAATTAACAGGAATATATAAGAGCCCTATCATACACCTGGCACAAGGAGCAACACAATTGTTGTTTGCTAGTTTCAGCTTGGCGCAAGAGTCGTTTTGATGAAAGTAAATAAAGAGGAGGGTTATCTCTCATTCTTGCGCTGTAGATGCTCTGTTTAACTGTTTTCTTGCTAGTGAAATGCTCAGTTTTCCCACTTACAAAGTCCTTCATGTAATTAGCAAATGTGCTATGGCGTGACACAACTGACTCTTGAAGGGAATGAGAGATGAGACTCTGATTGGTTTATTCTCAAAACACACCTATAACTCATTAAGAAAATAAGCTCAACCCTTTTAGATCCTGCGCCACAGCGCAAAGCGGATTTTTCCATTCTTATATTAGTAAAAGTGGATTCTGACATGCCCTTAATGCATTTGCGCCCTGCACTTTGCACATTGCGCATGGATTGTCAAAATAGAGCCCTTAGACATAATGGGAATTAATGAGAATAAACTGTGAATTTAGTCAACTGAAGGTTAGCCTATGCCAGGGTACTTAATTGTATTTAAAAAAAGATTTTACTGTGTAATTCGCAGCATTGCATGCATTTTCTTGAACACAGCACACAAAAGAATATTTTTAAAAAGTCTATCTGTTCATTTAAATTACATAAAAACATACTTGTGCTTCAAGCTATTGGGCAACAAAATTTACTGTTGTATAAACAAATACACTGCCTGAGCAAACATTTAGGTAAAAAACGCACACACGCACAACTAAAAATATCATACCCCACACACTATGCCCCTTAAAGTCACTTAGGGAGAAAATTCCTATGGCTATTGCCAACCCATTTGTATCTAGAAATGGACCGCTCTGTGATTATGACGGTATGATAACCTTGGATAAACATATCGCAGTTTAATGGTATTGTGATTACTGCTCCAAAATATGTATTTTTTAAATGTCTGGGTTAAAAACTAAAACTTTTTCCCCGTTTGAACAAAATATATTTTTATTTAGGAAACATTTAAGATATTTTGTAACAATAAACATGTCAGGCTAAATAATTCAAATCAATCATTGACTTCTGCTCTCTTCATTAGTTTCAAAAACACTGATTTCTTTACGATTTAAAATGGCATCTTTGGAAAAAAAGAAAGAAAAAAAACAACAACAACAACAAAAAAAATTATACATATACTGTAGGAACAGTATAACAGAAAAAGTTGGCAGTTTTAAAACCTTGACTTTTCCAAACTTTGAAAACAGTTATCATTGCATGCCAATTTGCAACCTTATTTACCATGGATGAATTTGCTCCTGCAAATATGTCTGATAATCTAATAATCCATATTGTTTGCAAACACTTTTAAAGATGTAGTAAAAATCACAGCTAGCCTCTTTGTGTTCCTTCTTGACTTGAATTGTTTACTTTTTACGTCACTTTACTACTCATGCTCTGATTCATTGCTTAATAACAATTCAGAATGCTCTCTTCAGCTTATGACTGATGTGATTTGACATGTTGAATCGGCAAACAAGCTCTGACGGTAACCGGACAAGAGATGCCATGTGTTGACTTGGTGTGTCCTCCTGGCTTTCAGTACATTATGTGTTGATAAAGTATTCCAAGCATTCCAACACCTTCCCACATTCTTACAGTAATACAGTAAATCATACCTAATTTTCTTTTAGCTAACTAAACGCTGCAGAATAAAGAAAAGTTCTCTACATTGATCCACAGTGGTGCAAAACCATGCAATCATTTTTCTGACACTTTAAAAGATTTAGGGATAAAAAGAGCACAACAGCATCACTCACCAGCAGTGAAGTCCTTGTTAAGGTCGATGAAAGCATGGGAATGAGGGATGCGCATTGCAACTGTGGAGTTGAGAGCCTTCTCACATCTTTGTTGTCTGATAAACATTAAAAAAAACATGCTTACTACACTGTATATCTGTTTTTATGAAATGGGTAGAAAAACAAAACAAGCTATAGGACATTTAGGAAGATAATCTTACCTCGCCTTTAGATAGCAAACCTCCAACGAGCCATCCACAGTTCCAAAAATATCTGGGATCATGTCCCCATCAAAGCTTTACATGTGAAAAAGAAAAAAGTGACATTATACCTCGGCTAAAACTGTAAAAGGCAAGCTTGTATTTGTACACAGCATCATATTAACGATATAAGGTCAGGTTCACTTTATTTGTACCCATAAGCTATGTAGGTTTGCATTTTCCAGTATATGGGTTCACACATTTTTATACACAACCCAAAAAACTAATTTTAATATATTTTATTTTATTTTACTTGAATAAAATAAATTACATTAAAATAAAATGCAATTAAATAGCTTTAAAGTATCATTCATTCATTCATTCTCCTTTGGCATAGTGTCTATTCATCAGGGGTCACCACAGCGGAATGAACCGCTAACTTATCCAGCATGTTTTACACAGTGGATACCTTTCCAGCTGGAGCCCAGTACTGGGAAACACCCATACGTAATCATTCACACAAATACATTATGGAAAATTTAGTTTATTCAATTCAAACCGCATGTCTTTGGACTGTGGGGGAAACTGGAGCAACAGGAGGAAACCTACGCCAACACGGGGAGAACATGCAAACTCCACACAGAAATGCCAACTGGCCCAGCCAGCACCTGAACCAGCCACCTTCTAGCTGTGAGGCCACAGTGCTAACCACTGAGCCACCATATCGCCCCTTAAAGTATTATTATAGTACTATTATGTATTATGATAAAGTATTATATACTTACTCCATTACAAGAGGCTGATCAGTAAAGATCTTGTCCAGCTTCTCCTTTTTATTTTGGTCTGTAAGAAAATGTATTATAATGTTCATATTGTATAATATTTAGTTTGCCTTTCACTAAATCCTATCGTATACACCCAAAACACTTCATACAAAATATATGACACATGAAAGTGAATGTTGTGACATTTGGCCAAGTACGGTGATTTTGTACTTGGAAACTGTGCTCTGCATTTAACCCATCCAAGTGCACACACAGCAGTGAACACACAATTAAAGCCACAGTCTACAATCCCTTCCCGTAACAGAACTTGAACCTGTAACCTTACAAGTCCAACTCTTTAACTATTAGGTCACTGCTGTCCATTCTTTTTTATTTTGTTTTCAACAAAAGATTAATGCTGTTCATTGCTAAATGTTATTATATGAACAAACATGAGAATCTTCCTATTGTTTTTTTCCCATTTTTTGGTGAACTAACACTTAATTATAATAAAAATAAGAAAATAATAGAATAAAAATATGAATGTATAAATAATGTAGGAATTAATATATTTTCATTGAAAAGAATCAATCAGTAAAGCATCTAAAAAAAAAGATGTTTTGCCTAGTGTGAAGAAAATTTTCATATCTTTAATAACTTAATAAACTTTTTCACCTACTGGGGCCTTTTGTGAAATAGAAAGCTTCTAGGGATGTTAAATCTTCTTGAACTGTGCCAATAAACACCCTTCATTGTTAATAAATATAGGGAATGCTCAGAGCTTTATTAAAGAACTATATATTCTTTATGTATTATATTTACGACTTTACCTAAAGTCTGGTTACGTCCCCAGAAGACGAAGACGCTTGTTTGTAAAGGGGAGCCATTTAAGTGGCCAGTGAGAAGCACATCCATCTGAGAATCTCCATCGTAATCACCCGGCACCACACTGCTTATGATGAAGTCACTGAGAGAGCAGGAAAAACACATCAACACTGCAATGAACAACCATGCTAACAATGACAAAAAAACTGACATGTTCAATGACTCAATGACTGAAAATATCTAATGTTTAAAATGGAACAGCTTACAGAAAAAAAATATGAAAGACACTATACAGTATGCATATGTTTTCCATTACAATCAAGTTTCATATTTGATTCATCAGCATTTCATGTCCCATATATTGCAAAACACTGAAAACATCATGCTCACAATTGAAAAATAATTATCAAAAGCTTACATTTGAGATGAAATCTTAATAGTTTTAAATACAGGATCAAAGTATTTAATGAATTATAATCTAATGATTAATAAAAGACAATACAATATGACTCCAAAGCTTGTTGTATCATTTTTGACACAAAGATTATTATAGCTGACAAAAAATTATAGATGAAACATCATATACACCAAACTTGTAACAGGTTTATCTAGAATAATTTGTGAATATTGAAGTTCGTTTACACTTATTTAAAAAAAAAAAACCCTGATGATTTCACAATAAAACAAAACAACAAAAAAAACTTGTGTATCAAGATCTGAAGTTGAACACTTAAGATTGTATTATTTTATTTGCTAAATTACATGAAATATTGGAGGGAAGCCTTTAATTTAGCAGTCTCATTCATATTTTAGAGGCTAGAGGAAATAATTGAAGTAAAGTTGGTTTTATGTTCTCACATTCAGACTTATTCCTCCATAATAATATTCATTCACTCATTTTCCTCCTGCTTAGTCCCTTTGTTTATCAGAGGTCACCAAAGCGGAAAAAAACGCCAAGTTATCTAACATATGTTTTACGCAGCTAATGCCCTTCCAGCCAAAACCCAGTAATTGGAAAAACCCATACACTCTTACATTTACACTCAAACATTACAGCCAATTTTGCTTATTCAATTCACCTATAGCGCATGACTTTGGACCTTGGGGGAAACGCCCACAAACATACAAACTCCTCACAGAAACACCAACTGACCCAGCCGATGACCTTCTTGCTGTGAGGTGACAGTGCTAACTACTGAACCACCGTGCCACTCCTCCTTAATAATATAATTTCAGAAAAGTTATCTTTGCAAATTCTAAATAGTGAAATCACATTATCAGTCAATGACTATCAAAGTACAACATTGCTCACAGTCAAAAAAATTGTGTAATGTTGTTTTGGAGTCATACTTGCATGTGATTTTAGGCCAAATATTCAATATGTATATTGTAAACAATATAAGGAGTATGTCACCAAGTAGTCGCTGAACGAATGTTCGAATATAAAACCAACTTTACCTCAATGAGAAAACATATGTATCTGATATGATACAGTAGGCTTCAGAATAGTAGTGTGTGTGGTGCTGTGTGTGTATAATCTTACCTAGGGAAAACCTCTTTAGTCAGATGGACTTTAGGTTTGAAATAAGGTGCTTTAAGATCAGCCAAGAAAATCAACAGCTCAGATTCTGTAATAAATAACATATAAAAGAAACAGCACATTAGCATCTATGTAACACTAATAGTTTAACAATATAGTATAGTGTTTACAAAGGGAGTATTCAGCCACACCCCCTGTCATAAGGAAAACATGACAGTTGTGTGATATGCACAAAACGGCATCGACAGCCGTCTTATCAAAACTCACACATAATATACAATAACCATATAAAACACATATTACTTCTTCAAGTAAATCTTCGGTTAGATTCTTTTAAGACTCTAGTGTTCATATTATTAGCTAGCAGAAGTGTACTCACGCTTCCTGATGATGAAAATGTCAGTCTGTTTATCAGAGTTAAAGTCACCGAAAGCCGCTACTGTACCATTGTTTTCCTGGCCAAATAAATCGCTAGTAACGTCCTGCAATGCAAACGTGACGTGTTGTCCGACAAAACTTGATAATAACGTCAAAAAACAAGCAAATGACAGCAACATTTTGCTGTTAGCTTCGACCAACAAAACTGGAACACGGCACGTCGTTCTTCGGCAGGAGTGAATAGGCTTTGCGACAAGTGCGAGTGTTCAACGGCAGTGTGAGTGTTGTTATTTTGCTGTCATCATGGCAAGCTTAGCGGATGTCGGCTGGAAGCTGCTGGAGTTCAAAGCCAGATCTAAGCGATCAGGTTTGGCTTCTTTGAGATGCATGACATTAAGAATGATTTAACAGTACCGTCTGTGCATTTTGGCCCATTGTCCGTGTTGCAGAAACGCATTAACATGAGTTTTCGCGTATGTGTGTGGCAAAGAGCAGAGCCCAAAGGTCAGGCGTGAAGAGGACGCTGATCAGCGGCTATATTTAGAGCCTAAACTGCACACTGAGCGTCAGCTTTTGCATTCTTAAACAGTAGTACTTTAAAAGACTCCGGTCCCTGAATGTCTAAGGTTTTGAAAAGCTTTTTAACCCTCTTAATTCATTGCTGGTTAGCATCTGCTTCAGCCTGGCATGAAAACTCAAGTAGACTTTCACAGAGCTGTCAGATTTCACTTGTGGCCGTGTTAAACAGATAAATAAATAAAATGCACATTTCTAGAAGGGATAAAGTAAGTCCATTAGCTCTCCCTTATGTTTTTCTAAACCTGTATGAGAAAATATCCAATGATTGCTAACAGTGACTTATGTTTTATATTGACTATTATATCATGCATGTTTAAAACAACATGGTGAGTAAATAATGTTTTTTTTTTATGTCTTGTTTTGTCCCTTCCAAGAAATGGCAATTGGTCTAAATATACAATGTTTTCATTTGCTGTGATTGTAAGGGTTTATTAAACCAAATATTTGATTTCATTACTCTCCTGTAGTTAAAAACTGGTGTTGTATTGTCTAAAATGTGTAAACGTGTTTGAAAATAGGACAACTTTTTTGTTATTTTGAACGATTGTCATTTATGCAAAAAATGCTCTAAATGACAAAAGAAACATTTAAATTTGAAACAAGTTTTATCAGTTTACTAAACAAAACTAAAATTAAGTTTTACACTGTCATCCAGCTATAAATAATATAGAGAGAAACTTCTCTAATGGCCATTTACATTTATTTTACATAGCTGTATTTTGCTTTTTTTTTTTTTTTTGCAACATTTAAAATACAGTAGTTCAGATTTACCATGTATTATATATCAATATTTCAGTTCACATGTATTTATGAAGGTGAAATTGAATATACACAGTCAAATGTTTGAGGTCAGTTTTTTTTTAATTATTCATTTTTTTTAAATAATTTAAATAGGCGGCATTTATTAGTAAAAAATACTTATTTATTAAATAATTTTATTAGTTATTGTATGTAGTTTTAAATGAAATTATTACTCCAGTCATTATTGCTTTCATTTCTATTACTATTGATAATAGTAATATTAATAACAATAATAACAGTAATAATAATAATAATAATTATTATTATTATTATTAATAATAGAGTGATTTCTGAAGGATCAAGTGACTCTGAAGACTGGAGTAATAAAGCCGAAAATGCATCTTTAAAATCACTGGAATAAGTTTTTAATTAAATTATAAACTTCTTTTGAAAAAGTTATTTTTATAGTGCAACGTTTCACAATTTGTACTGTATTTTTGATGAAATAAATACAGCCTTGGTGACCAGGAGAAGCTTATTTTAAAACATTTAAAAATCCTACTGACCACAAACCTTTGATCGGTAGTGTACTTGTACAATAGATGCGTGCAATTATACCCTTTATATCTTGTGAAGTGTATTTATGGATGTTGAGATGTGCCATATAGTGTTTTTAGTGTTTTAAAGGAGGGCTATTGATCACAGTTTGTCTCTTCAGTCATTCCAATAGAAATTCATAGCAATTATACAGTGTCATGGACATTTTAATTGTCATCTCATCCTCTCACATCAGTCATACCAAATCACCTCACTTTCAATTGTACACAATGCGATTTGTTGCATGTCAATTCAGTAACCAATGCCTGAAGATCTGAAAATCTCACTGTGTGATTCCATGTAATTTGTCTTTTCTCTCTATGTTCTGCTAACCTTCTGAATTATACTAATGTTGTAGTTTAACTAATAGACGACTGGCGTAGAATTCATCTAATGAAAAATGGCTGACACTGCCAATGAGCCTCTGAGCGAACGTCGCAAACTCCGGAAGCTTGGTAAGTTGGAGAATAGCGATTGATCCATGGGGGGAAAAAAACACTCATTACATTTGAAGTAAGAATTTTCCATTTCATTTTAAAGAGTGTGTTTAGTATCTGGATACAATACTCTTCACCTTTTAAAGCCAGTCACAGTCTTTGTTCAGAAATGAAACTCTTTGATGCCTTAATTGAAAACTGGTGCTTAATTTAGTTTCTTTTTTTCATTTCTGAAAAATAATTCTATTGTTTCATCTCTAACATTTCATCAGATCTAAAAGGATTAGTAATAAATAAACCTTCTTCTGTGATTAAACAAATCAGTAATTCAGTAGAGTACCTCTCATATTTTTCCCATCAATGTCTGATCAGATCTGTTAACAGAAGGTTTGTATGTTTCTCGAGGCAAGCTACGTTTATATCAATGCGGTGAAACTAAAACGAGGAGTATCTTTCATTTGCCTATTGGATGTGCACTGCTTAGCCGGAGTTATCTTAAAAAGAGATGGCTTTGTCCGTGCTACTTAAAAGCTGATGGGAATTATGCTAATTTGCTCGGAAATGTGAATTTTCAGTACCTGAGGTATTGACCCTGGGTCGATTCTATTAAAATGTAAATTGCTCCAAAGTTAAATGTGTCTGAAATAGTGCTTCATTTGATGGGGTTCCCCTGAATTTCACTCCCTTCAGAAAAAAGCTGAATTTACCGGTGTCAGGTTCCATTACTCGCAGAGTTTGTGCCAGTACCTTCAATTTTGCAATCAAGCTGTGTGTGTCTGCAGTGACGTTTGGTTTGATGTATGCATCTGGAGAACAATAGCTTAGTCTTTTGCATTTTGCTTTGATTGTTTTCCTGGCATGCTTTGCTGCCTTTGCACCCCAGTAAATCTACATTCTGTGGCTCTTAGCATTGTAAATGGAACAGAAAACCATTTACGTTACAGAGTCTAAATGAAGCACATTTTGATTTTGGTGAGTCAGCTCAATCTTAGCATACTAAATAGCCTAAAGTGGGTCTGTAGCGGGCCAGCGGTCTATACTAGCATCATCAAGAAGCCATGCTGACTTTGAAGTACACTCATCACTTCCATCCAATGATACTTGAAATGCACCTCAAGATGAGATAAGAATCGCAATATTGTGGATGTATTTTATGTAACGTCAAGCTCTCCATTCTGTGATCAGGCTCCATCTATGAACCCCTTAAGCTGTCCATACTGCACCGGGAGGATGAGCCCCTTTGGGAGAAACTTGACCGCTTCTATAGTGCAGGTAAGAAGTTCTGCCGGTTCTATAATTGCTACATTTTGCTGTTCAAAAAGCTAGGGAAAACTTTTATTTTTCTTTTTAATTATTCTTTTATTTAATTGGAAATGTATCTAATTAAAAAAAAACTGTGTTTTACAAATACAAGTAAAAAAAAATCTTAGTTAGTAAAAAAAAATCTATAGTTTTGTTTGTTTGTCGTTTCTTTTCAATACCATCTACATGGCTACTCTACTACTTTATTAACAGAGTTTGGTGGTAACTGAATTGAAAATGTTAAACTTTTTAGTTAAAAAAGCTTAATTATTAGCTAATATAAATAATGAGAGCAAATGGGACTTTAATAAAATTATAATTAAAAGTTCTATTTTTTCCTTATATTCTGGCATTGATAATGACATTTTACAAAATAATTCTTGGTGTTTTTAAATCAATTATTTAACTGCTTCAGAGCTTATTGATTATAGAAGGTGACTTAATGTCCTGTATTCTACATAGTTGTGTATGAAAATTCACCAATTTAAAGGCAAAGTTTGGTACGGTAACAGTTGAAGGATACACATTTTTTTTTAATAACAAGGTGTCCGCAGGGTCAAAAGTTTATAAATCAATCAAGCAAAAAATTAAGCCGCTTAAAGTACACATCTTGTATCTTATTTCTAATGTATTATGTTTTGTTTCATCTTTTCATTTACTTTTAGATAAAAAGTTTTTTTAATTGAATAGTTCTGTATACGAAGATGGGATTTTTAAAAATAGTTTATGGAACCGTAATAGTTTATGAACAGTCATAATTGTTTTGTTTATTCGTATAATTATTATTTATTTTTATTTCTAATAAATCTTTCATAGGATTTGTCACTCAAATAATTATCTTGTGCTTCATTCTCATCCTTTAGAATTATGTTGTGTTGATAAGGGGTTATCCCAAGCTAAGATTGTTAGTTGTGCTTTCTAACAATCAATATCTAAAGATAGTTTTACTCAGTGTTTTTCAACCACGTTTCTGGAGGGCCACCAACACTGCATGTTTTGGATGTCTCCTTTGTCTGTCACACCCATTACAAGTCTTTCAGTCTCTGCTAATGAGCTGATGATCTGAATCAGGTGTGTTTGATTAAGGAGAAATGGAAATGTGAGTTGGTGGTTCTCCAAGAATGTGCTTGAGAAATACTGCTTAAACTGATGTCCCTGATGTGGTGATGAGGTTTTAAAAATGTATGGAAGGAGTCTTAAAAAGTGTCTTTAAATGTATTAAATTTAACTCCATGATTTCTGTATATGCCTATATATATATGTTAACGATTAATTTTTAAGAAATATGATGTTATAGAATTAATAAATGTCTATTTATGGCTTTTAGAAATAAAGTTAATGAACATTTTGACATTTTGATTACTTACGTGATGAAATAATAATATACTGATTAATTCTGTGAACTCATGGGTTTTCACTATGTGAGACACCTTTTACAGAAAGTCATTAAAATATAACTCTTTGGAAAAAAACAAAAAAAGTAATTAGTTGAGAGGCTGATCTGTTCTTTTTTTTTCTTTTTTGGCGGTGTAAAATTTTAGCAGAGCATCTCTTGAGCACTTTCTTATGCACTTTAATGATGCGTTTAACCTCAGTCATGACTTCATTTAGCTGCACCACCTTTCTTTTTATTGTAATTAAACGCGCAAATTTATAAAGCAAACTGGTTAAGGTGTCAAGCTGTGTACAGATTGCAACATTAAGTCGGGTTTTTCTTAATATAGTTGATCTGTGTATTAAGTGCACTGTTGTTTACTGCTATTTAAAAATAATTACTGCAAGATGCTTCCTAATTTAATTAGAGGATCCAAAAAGTCTCCAAACCATTACATTTATTTATAATACCCAGCAAATGACTTGAGTCCAAGCACTAAAAGATTCATTTGGAGCTAGTATGCTTTCTCGTTGCAGTGCTCCTCTGAGCATTTTGCTCTTAATCAATACTCATCTCTCTCCAGCTCACCCTCCTTCTCTCACCTAATCTTGCTTTCTAGTTTAGTTTTCACCATGACAATAAATACTGTTCCCTAAGATGAAATGGCATTTGTAAGTTTAAATGAGCTTTCTTCATGGTTTTATTCAGCCTTATATTTTCTTTTCTTTGATAAGGTAAAGAAAATGTGTTAATGTTTTAAAGTCATTTAGATTTATTTGAATGTATGTCTTATTTAGGGCTTTCCCCTAACAGTTGACTATGGTAGATTATGTGTAAAAGCTTGGTCAACTCATTTTAAATTAGTGATTCAGTTGGAAGAAAAAAAAAGTGATGATGTCATTGCCATAAAGTGACTCAACATTGGGTCCATCCTTCGCACCTTGCTTTAACGATCTAAGATGATTTGGCAGATGCAGGATCTTTTAATCGTGAGAACAGATATCTCTGGCTAATTTGGTTCTCCAAACAAGTTTCAGCTTGCAATATCTGGATAAATTGATCTGGGATCAATGTGTGCTTTGGTTTGTTGTGAAGCACGTATCTTTTATTCTTCAAAATCATGATCAATAATACAGCGATTGGCTGGTGGAAAGACAGCAGTGTAATGACATCATCTGATCTAATATTCGATTGTCCGCCATGTGAGCAAAATAACATAGGATTTGTAGTAAATCAAACAGTTTGTTAAACTTTCTGCATTTGTTGAAGGCTGTTTAGAGTTGATTTTCTATGTACTCTAACAGTATTTAAGATGTAACTGGTGATTTAAATTAATTTAGTGTCAAAAAAGCATTTTGATATTTGAGAAGTGTCTACATCTCCTCCACTGCATCTAATCACCTGTGTATTAGCTGTCTATGTAGTACTGTATGTGCTTAAGTACTGTAAATTATTTAATTATTCCTTGCAACAACAGAAAATGCTTAATGACGATATTGGCCATGTCTTTTACCATACTCTTTCAGAAATTGAATGGTACAGGTTTAAATCTAAAATGTCCATATTGGTATCTCAAAAGTATAAATTATTACCTAAAGTGTACATAAGAAGTTCTAAAAAAGTCTTTGGTCCCCTTGAAAAGGTACCACCTAAAGACTCCAGAATACACAAGACATCGTATACACTCGTACACTCGTATACTTTTGAGTATGGAAAAGTGTAACAGTCAATATGGTGAATAAAGCCCCACCAGTACAGAAGCCAGTCAGCGATTGCTATATGGCAGGGGTCGCCAATCTCGTTCCTGGAGGTCTGGTGCCCTGCAGGGTTTAGCTTAGACTTGCCTCAACACACCTGCCTGGGTGTTTCAAGCATACCTAGTAAGACCTTGATTAGCTTGTTCAGGTGTGTTTGATTAGGGTTGGAGCAAAAATCTGCAGGATATCGGACCTCCAGGAACGAGTTTGGTGATCCCTGCTATATGGTGAACAAAGCCCGCCTTCTAGTACAGGAGCCAATCAGCGATTGCTATAGAATGACTATTCTCCGGGGGAGGGGCTCGAACCAGACATGAGTTTCTTCAGATTTTGTGTGATACGAACATTTGGAAATTAAACCTAATAGACAGTTATTGTTTAACTTTATTGGTTATTCATAATATGTAATGTAATCATAATCTTGGCAAGTAGTTTTGGAGAATTTGATGTTTCCCATTCAAACAGAATGCCCGAGCATACTGCCAGAGAGGCGTTTCAAAGATGGCCACTAAGTAAAATTACTTGCCTTAAAGGGACTTTGGTACTACCTTCATAACTTTTTGGCAGCAGTTGGTAAATACTTACTTATTATAACCTTCACTTGAAATAACACTTTCAAATCCTGTCTATATGAAATAAGCTGTTCCTAAACAAGCTTGAGCTTGCAGAAATGTTGCTATGACAAGAACTTCTGGATGAGTTTTGAAGAATGTCATTTTTCGGAATCGTGTCAAATCATCGATAATCATATCTAGCTAACTGTAAAATCCACGTTGGAAAAAAAGACCCCTGATCTAATTTATCCACAAGCTAATTATTTTGTTAGGAAATCGATAGAAATTAAAGGATGACTCCCTAAAAGGTATCTCGCAAATTCATGTACATGTACAACAGGCTTATGTATGTAATAGTTTTATAATAGTTTTATAATAGCACATTTCAAGTCCACTTGCGTTTTTGCAGACTTTCAGTGGCAGTATAATTACAGTAAAGGCAGTATTATACAGTAATTGCGTTCACATAGCGCATGTCTTTGGACTGTGAGGGAAACCGAAGCACCCAGGGAAACTCGCGCCAACACAGGGAGAACATGTGAACTCCACACAGAAATGCCAACTAAACCACCTTGAACCAGCAACTTTCTTGCTCTTAGGCACCTCTTGTTATATTTACATTATATATTATGCATTTTGGTGCTGTTTGAAGGTATACTGTTCTACCAGTAGATGGTGGAAAAAAAATATTGTAACTGAATCATTCATTCAAATCAGGAGTCTCTAACTCCTGGCCCACGGGCTATTTACAGACCCCCATCCTCCTCCCCCCTCCGACCGGCAACTGATGTCAAAAATATAACGATAGTTTGCCCACCAAAACATATTTTGAGTCACTATCATTGTTGTGCACTCGCATAAAGCCACTTGTGGTTTTGACCTGCCACCTGCTGGACATTTAAAGCACTACATTCGGATTAGTTTTACTTTCATTTTCTCATAGCGTGCGGTTGAGAGTAAGGCCCAATCCCAATTCTATTTTTGTACCCCTACCCCTTCCCCTTAGCCCTTACAACCAAGGGTTAAGGGGAAGGGCTTCAAAATGTACCCCTAAGAATTGGGACATCACTACAGCACCTGCACATGTCATTATATGTCCTCGAGATCTGAAGCTTCATATGAGATCAGTCGATGGCGACTGCTGTACTTACTCCAGTTGTGTTATTTTTTGGTATTTATCTTCAGAAAAATTTCTGAAGGCATATATTATGTATTCATAACGATATAATGTGGGAATAAGATCGTAACATTTACACATTGGCCATATTCATTAATGTAAACACA